CGTTTATTAAAATCAAATACATTTATTTCCATTTCTATCGGTAAAATAAACAATAATTTCTGGACGTAACAGATATAAAAACAAAAAAGTCAAATAAACGAAAACGTATTCCTCTTTAATAAGAGGAATACGTTTTCGTTTATTTGACTTTTTTTTCGTTTATTTTAATAAATAACAAAAAAGATGATAAAAAAACAACAGTTATATGGCAAACGAAATAAAAGCATTATTCTTCAAAAGGTACAAAAAAATAATTATGTATATTATAATATTAATAATAGGAACAACAAGAAACATCTTAAAAATATACAACTTTTTCAAATATAAAACAAAAACATAAACTTCACATTTCCACAAGAATTTAAAAAATATTAACATTTAGAGTCTATTATAAAATATAAAGCACGAAAATTCAAATCATAAAAAGATTTAAAAGATAAAGATTCTTATAACTTACAGTCAATTTGTAGGACCTTCGGTTTGTGTACGTTAGCGATGTAATCACAATAATATGTATAATCACAGTAATTATTATGCTCTTCATAAGTGTAAAATGTATTACATTACTTGTTTTCGTTTTGTACGCTAATAAAATAATAGTAATAACCAATCAAAACGCAAAATCAGGAATTCAACAGTTCGTTCAAGGCAAAAACGTTTTTCGTTTTATTTAGGTTAGGTTTGACGAGTGCGACTGCGCGATGAATTCTGACTCAACTGGCCAGCGCAAAAACAATAATTCAACTTCCTCAATCGTTTGAAAAGTCTTGCTTTTGTTAGTTTGTCTATGGTCTAGTCCCACGCGCACACACTCTCCAGCACCCCCTCCTTGCTCATTCCGCAGTGTGTCGCGTGTTCGGTTCTTCAGTACGCTTACCAGGGCCCAGTCATGGTACAAAGAATACAAGGTATGATCGATAGCGGCTCCAATTTCGTTCAGTTCGCGCATACCACCTGTGACGTCACTAGGAAAATAATGAATAAATAAAAAATAAAGAAAGTTGACAGGAGATCTGTATTTTTTGGGGTTATGGTTAAGAATTGTTTATTTTTAAGACTTTTTAGTTCGTTTAATTTAATAATTACTAAAACCAGCAGTTCCAAAAATATATTTAAAAATAATTATCTATTAACATGGATTTGGACGATAATAATAGGTAAGAATACTAAATTTATTTCTATATTCGGTATAAAATTGTTTATTAGGTTTTTAGTTTGCGATGTTTATGGTAAATAATTTTCATGTTCATTGCCTCTGAATTCACATGAGGACAGAGATGAGGATATCTATGGAAAAGTAACCACAAGAGGAATTGTTACATCATTTAAAAAATGTTGGGAAGTTGAAGTTTCCCATCGAAAAGTAGAAAATGCCAATGCAGATGAATGTATTGTAATTGTGATAGAAGTAATTCCAAGGGTGAAGTCTATTATAATTAGTGACCTGTGCTTCTTTTTATATGTAGATGTTTCAGGTTTTGAGAATAAATCGGTTGAACGAAACCCAAAATTTAGAGGAAGTATTTGCATACCCAGAATATGACCATCAAGGATTATATAGCTCAAATTTCCTTTAATGGTAGGCAATTATTCAATGCAAATTAACTTTTTAAGTGACTGAAATATTAAATAGTTTACAATATGGTATATCACTAAAAATATATTACTTTTAGGTACAATTAGTGCCCGATACATTTCAAAAAGTAGAATATTATTTTATATTAAATGAGGTATTGTACCAACAATCAATTTATATTAATACCGCAGATTAAAAAATAACAGAATAAATAGTTCTTTCTTTTATACTACAAAAATAAACTATAGAATACAACAGTATTTAAAAAAAAAAGTTATGTCCCGCCGAGATTCGAACTCCGGTCTCTCGCTTCCTAGCCCAACTCCTTACGCACTGCTCCACAGTAACTTGCTTAGCGATAATTCATTGACGGTATATAAACAAAAAAACAGGTTTATAATAATACCTTGACGATTTGAACTGGCGCGCGGAGCGTGCTGACCAATAGCGCCTGTTATCACCTGTGACGTAGCGACCAACCTGCGCAATATCATACCTTGTATTCTTTGTACAATGGGGCCCAGTCACTCTTATGGAGCATTAAATTACAAATTGACGATTCGGCCCACTATAGATGGTGCTAATTTACGTCGTGTATATATGGTTGCAGAACAGTTCATCGTGTATGTATGGTTGCTTCAAACGTTACGATTGGCTCGGTCTTTAAATTCATAATATAAATTTTGCGATTGATTTCCCTCTTCCGTCCACACTGTACTTCAAATACTCCTTTATTTATGGTTCAAACTATATTTAAGCTGCCTATATTTTGTTTTTAATACAAAATGTATTTCTCGTGCTTTTTATGGTATTCCGACTCCAACTTTTTCATATTATATTATTCAAAGATAGCCATATTTCTTAGTGCTTCTTGAATTATACAACTGTGATGAACTGCAACGAGATGAATTTTCAAAGTATAAGCAGCCTGTAGGATAAATTTTACATAATATACATTGTAGCAGGCTGAATTCATAATTTATTACCACAAAGATATCATTCTCATAAAGGTATCTGGTGGTGTAGGGGATATGGCTCTCGTCTAGTAACACGAAGGTAGCCGGTTCGAGTCGTGCCGCAGACACAACTTTTTTATTTAATAAATAAATTATTTTGACCTTGAAGCCCTGAGCCGCACTCGGCCCGCTATAGATGGCAGCAAAAATTTTGTTCGCTTTTTTATTACATTGACTGATCGTTCTGTAGTTATTCTGTGACGCTTACGATTTTCGTCGGAGTTGCATGCCTGTTGCTAGTCTCTACTGTCTATTTACAACGACGCGTATCGTTCGAGATCACCGATCGTTCTTTTAACTATGGTAAGTTATACCTTTTTATTTGTACTGATGTTGTGTTTTATTTTTATTTGATTTAGTATTTTGCCTCTTAATATTTGTTATTCTTCTCACATGCTGGGGGCCATTAATAATTAATTATTAAATAGTGTCGCCCATTTCTGGCACACTCAATGCCCCTCTGGTATGTATATTTTATTATTTTTACATACTGTGAGCATCGATTGTTAGTGTCGCCCATTTCTGGCGCACGCAACAGCTCAAATGTGCTGGCTGGGCGGTCCAGTTGGCCCACGACGTCTCACCTCGGGGAGCCAAGCCGTCCCGCTCGCTTCCTACCCTAGTGGTACCAGTTCGGTCTATCTGGACGGCCCAGTTTGGCGCCTTTCGGCCCAGACTGAAGAGCAGTGCTGACCGGTTGGGCCTCGACGTCTCATTTCGGGAAGCCGAGTCGCTCTGTTTACTACTTAGTCTCGACGCTTGCCAATCTGGTCAGTCGTACGGACCATACGCTTGCCAATCTGGTCAGTCGTACGGTCCATTTTGGGCCGTACGGACCATTTTGGGCTGTCAGCTTGCTAGTTTGAGCCTTGGCTGTCCATTTTGACCCGTAATGGTTTTTAAATGAAAGCCAGTCACTTTTTTTGTTCTGTTACAACTGCTCTGGGTATTCTAATCGCCTTTTTCTTTGATCTGGATTGTGAGGATCCGGAGGAAAATGCTATCCTTTCAAGAATAAAAATTTTGGCCGCTAATCATCTACCTAAAGGTTGGCGCAGTTGGAAAATTATTAATACATTCCAAAGAAGAGTTACTTGGGACAGAGATGGACCCCAGGGTCCTTAATAAAATACGATTTGCTCTCCCAACTGTCGGCTTGGCAAGAGCCTTTGTACCAGACTGTTCCTCACTTCCTGAAAAAGTCTATACACAAATGAAAAATAAAATGTTAAGTTGGCCTTTTTGTACAGCTCTAATTATCGGCCCAGCTTCTCTTGCGGCTAGAGTAAGAGGTTCAGCAGCCCAACACGAATTAATACTGGCTGCCTTGTCGGATATGAAGCCCCTCTTGCTGTCCAGGAGCGATGCTTATGACGAGCTTTCTAAGGAATACGAAGAGATGGATTTGGATGAGGGTCGCTCTACCTCGCGCATTTCCTATAATTCTGCTGGATCTTCAAAAGTAGGTCGGAAATCTAGACTAGATAGATTGGAACAGGGCCAGTTGGAACTTAAGAATATGTTTGAAACTTTCATAACTAATTTTGGAGCTGCTCCAGCCCAACCTGCATACGAGTCGTACTCCTCGGATGATTTTTCCGATGACCATGAAGACCACCCTCATTCTCCAAAGCATCACTCTCCTGTATTAGATGAGGTGAGCTGGTCAGTCCCTCTTTCAGCCCCGCTATTGCCAATAAACGAAGTTTTTGACTTTAAACCTAAAACCAAGGAACAGGAACCAGCGATGCCAGCGCCTAAGCCTGCTATTGCGAAACAGGGCACGGAGTGTCAACGCCTTGGAGAATCATCATTCAAACTAATTCGATATTCGGAGGTTCAAAAGAGACTAAATGCGTTTCCAGTTTTCAACGCCCTTAAGATCAATCAGGAACTGTCACATCGCACCTCAAATTCAGACTTAGCTCGTATGGATACAACTTTGGGAACTTTGGTCCATGGACTTCTCCTGCAAAGGGAGGCTTTTGCATCTGCTATTCAGGACTTAACATTAAAACATCCCAATATTAAGGCTGATATCGTTGGTGCTTTTTCGCCAGAATCTTCCTTCCGCTGTATCTCGGACGACGTCTTTCAGTATGCTTGTGGCCGCCGAGCTGAAGTGATAGAACAAAGGCGCAATATTTTCCTTCCTAAGGATCCCTTACGAGCTAGCCTGATGGACGCTATTCCACCTTCAACAACACATCTTTTCTGTGAAAAAGAATTATCGGATTTAATGAAACAGCAACCAGGCCCTTCTAGTTTTTTTCGTCCCTCTGGAGGAGAATATCGTTCAAACACTAAACGTTCCTCCTATCCTCAACGTAAATTCCCGCAAACGCAAAAGAGACCACCTTTTAAGAAATCCGACAAAATGCCTGAAGCTTGACGTCGCCAGTCAGAGGATGTTCCCCGCCGAAAGCGACAGCTTCCAGCGTCAAGATCCAACTCAAGATCCCAGGCCAAGTTGCGTAAGCCTAATTTTCCCTAGGGAAGCACATTTCAAGGGGGGGCGACTGTTAGACTTCCTGCGTACTTGGGAATTAAAAGGAGCACCACGAGGAATCCTCCAAATAATTGGAGGTTATACAATACCTTTTGTTTCCAAACCCCCTCTAGTTCACTTCTCCGTTTTGACAAAAATCAGTTTCGAGACGAAAGGTATGGAGTCAGAACTAACCTCACTACAAGAACAGGGCATCTTAGAAACTTCAACTTCGACCACAGGGTTTTTATCAAGGATGTTTCCAGTCACAAAATCAGACGGCTCTGTTCGCCCCATTATCAACCTTCGAGGTCTAAATCGCTACTTATCTCCGAAGAAATTTCGTCTCATAAATCATACCAAGGTTCTCGACTTCCTCCAACCCCGGGACTACCTTCTAAAGTTGGACATATCCCAAGCTTATTTCCACATCCCTGTGAAGCCACAACATCGAAGGTTTTTGTCAGTTGTTCACCAAGGCGAAATTCTACAATTCACTTGTCTCCCGTTTGGCCTATCGACCGCTCCTCTAACCTTTTCCAAGGTGACAAACTGGTTGGCCTCTCAACTAAGAAACAGGGGTGCAAGAGTTATAGTCTATCTAGACGATTTCCTGTTTGCAGGACAGGATCCGAGTCAACTAGAGATCATATGGCACGAAGCTGTTCATTTCCTGACAGAATTAGGATGGATTTTAAACCTAGAAAAATCGTCAAAAAACCCCGTTACCCGCCTGAAATTTCTCGGTATTGTCTGGGATACTGTCGCCAACTTGAGGTCTCTGCCGCTAGAAAAGATCACTTCTATAGAAAAGGACTTGAAAATAGTTTTTAAACACAACTCTTGGAACTGGGAAATTGCAAAACGCCTATTGGGAAAACTCAACTTTGCAGCCTTCATAGTACCACTCGGAAGGATACACTCCAGACACCTTCAGAGAGCATCCAATCATCTTTCCCAGTTTCAACGAAAAGTAGTAGTTCCGTTGCCTCCAAGCGCTCGAAAGGAATGCACGTGGTGGCTACAAAACCTCAGAAATTCCTCTCCAATTTTTGCATGTCGCAAGACGATCTTCCTGTCGACCAATGCCTCAGATCTAGGCTGGGGGGCTCAATTAAATGGCAAACATATGCAGGGGTTGTGGAATCCAAAACAAAAAATATAGCATATCAATCAAAAGGAACTTTTTGCCATCATCCATGCATTCTTATCAAATTCAAAACAAAAGGATCATTCTTCAATCGGACAACAAGACGGTTGTGGCCTACATCAAAAATCAGGGCGGAACAAAATCTGCCAGGTTAACTCAGATGGTATTTCGGCTTCTAACCTTAGCGGAGTCATTAAACGCAGAAATAATCCCTCATTTTCTCCCTGGTATCTACAACACAATAGCGGACAGTCTCTCTCGCCGAAATCATCTTGCAGATGGCACCTTTCGACAACAATAACATCTCTCATCTTTCAAAAGTGGGGAACTCCGGAGATCGACTTATTCGCAACAAATGTGTCACGAATGGTCCCAGTATATGCAACCCGCGATCTGAAAGACACAAAGGCCCTCTTTCTCGACGCCTTCAGCAGAAAATGGAGCTTCAAGTTGGATCTTTCCCCCTCCTGCATGGATCTTTCCCCCTCCTTCTCTGGTTCCCAGAGTGCTGTCTCACCTGAACAGTGCAAGAGGAATATTCATAATGATAGTGCCACGCTGGGAGAAGGTTTTCTGGAGAGCCGATCTCAAATTACGAGCAATGGATCACCCATTCGAGATCCGGAACCTACAGCACCACCTAACGGATGCGGCTACGGGACTGCCACTTCCCAAAGCAGGACGCCTTCGTTTGGAGGCTTGGAAGGTACGGGGTGGGCCTGTGTCACGGCATCTTGGACTCAAGAAGATCGTGCTTTGCTAGAGAAGGCATGGAGAAAATCCACTTTGAAGACATACGCAAGTCCGTGGAAATTGTGGCTGGAAAGATGTCGCCAACAGGGTCGAGATCCATGTTCCATTGATGCCATTTCCCTAGCGCTTCACCTTAGTTACCTTCATAGAGTTAAGAAACTGTCTTCTCGTACTATTAGACTTCACAAATCAGCGATATCAACTCTGGCCAATCCCATGCGAAATGACTCAAATGCTCCGTTACTACATCATATGTTAAAGGCTATAGACTTGACAAATCCACCTATCAACAAGAGATTTATTTGGGATGTATCGCAAATTCTTACCTGGATGAGAAATGAGCCGATTCAAGAAAACAGCGTGTTCCAGATCTCTCGTCGTCTTGCTTTTTTACTTCTTTTAGCCTCTGGCAGGCGAATACATGATTTAACCCTTCTAAGAATAGACGAAGACCACATGGTTTTGAATCAGGATTCTGTTACGTTTTGGCCTCCGTTCGGCTCTAAAACCGACTCTTCTTCTCACCGACAGTCTGGCTGGAACCTTTCATCGGTACCAGATCAACAATTAAATCTTGTCTTTTGGACTAAATCTCTCCTTTCTGAAACGGCTGATAGAAGAAAGGCTTGCGATGGTTTGAATGCTTTATTATGTTTTTTATATGTTCTTTATATGTTTTGAAGCATTATTTCAGGGAAATCAGATCCACTGTGGCCTCCTCTTCTAAGATTTCGCAGAGTAAAGGCTTGCTTAATAGTACTTTTAATTCTGTTTGATTTTTGTTTACCGTGCTATTAAATATTATAGTTATTATTTGTTTATGTTCCTTGAACTAAATATTTTGTAATGTTGGTTTTTTCTAGCTACCTATCTTAATAAACTTACGTTTTGCTTTTATATCTTACTTTATTTACAACATCAGTATTTATTAACAGTTATTATGCTTTTATTTTCACGATCACAGTACGCTTTCCCACATCGTCGTCAGAATCCAAACACCTCTCATAAGGTCAAGCCGACGGCACAGTCATGAAATACAAACGTTTTTCCCCCGAAGGGATAAAAACGATATATTTCATGTCTTGCCTAGGCTTGACCCGGTAAGTTCTTGACGACTTACATCTAGAGCATGGTACAAAGAATACAAGGTATGATATTGCGCAGGTTGGTCGCTACGTCACAGGTGATAACAGGCGCTATTGGTCAGCACGCTCCGCGCGTCAGTTCAAATCGTCAAGATATTGTTATAAACCTGTTTTTTTTTTGTTTATATACCGTCATTGAATTATCGCTAAGCAAGTTACTGTGGAGCAGTGCATAAGGAGTAGGGCTAGGAAGCGAGAGACCGGAGTTCGAATCTCGGCCGGAACATCACTTTTTATTTATTTTTTTAAATACTGTTATATTCTATAGTTTATTTTTGTAGTATAAAAAAAAGATCTATTTATTCTGTTATTTTTTAATCTCCGTTATTAATATAAATTGATTGTCAGTACAATATCTCATTTAAATAAAATAATATTCTACTTTTTGAAATGTATTGGGCCCTAATTGTACCTAAAAGTAATATATTTTTAGTGATATACCATATTGTAAACTATTTAATATTTCAGTCACTTAAAAAGTTAATTTGCATTGAATAATTGCCTACCATTAAAGGAAATTTGAGCTATATAATCCTTGATGGGCATATTCTGGGTATGCAAATACTTCCTTTAAATTTTGGGTGTCGTTCAACCGATTTATTCTCAAAACCAGAAACATCTACATATAAAAAGAAGCACAGGTCACTAATTATAATAAACTTCACCCTTGGTATTACTTCCACTAATTATAATAAACTTCACCCTTAGAATTACTTCTATCACAATTACAATACGTTCATCTGCATTGGCATTTTCTACTTTTCGATGGGAAACAATAAACTTCCCAACATTTTTTAAATGATGTAACAATTCCTCTTGTGGTTACTTTTCCATAGATATCCTCAACTCTGTCCTCATGTGAATTCAGAGGCAATGAAAATGAAAATTATTTACCATAAACATCGCAAACTAAAAACCTAATAAACAATTTTATACCGAATATAGAAATAAATTTAGTATTTTTACCTATTATCGTCCAAATCCATGTTAATAGATAATTATTATTTTTAAATATATTTTTGGAACTGCTGGTTTTAGTAATTATTAAATTAAACGAACTAAAAAGTCTTAAAAATAAACAATGCTTAACCATAACCTCAAAAATGCAGATCTCCTGTCAACTTTCTTTATTTTTTATTTATTCATTATTTTCCTAGTGACGTCACAGGTGGTATGCGCGAACTGAACAAAATTGGAGCCGCTATCGATCATACCTTGTATTCTTTGTACCATGCATCTAGAGGTACTGAAGAACCGAACACGCGACACACTGCGGAACGAGCAAGGAGGGGGTGCTGGCATGGTACAAAGAAAACAAGGTATGATCGATAGCGGCTCCAATTTCGTTAAGTTTGCGCATACCACCTGTGACGTCATACGCCATACAAAAAAATATCCATATTGTCCAATTGCCACTAATAAAAAAAGACCTAAAATAAGGAAGAATTAGGACATAACCCCAAAAGTTATGTTTTGACACCGAGCTTGACATTTGAAAAATTATTTTCACATTTTGACACAATCAAATTTCACAGATGACACAATCTGTTTGACAATTTGAAATTGGCGCGCAGAGCTTGCCGACCAATGGTGCCGTTTATCACCTGTGACGTAATGACCAACCTGCGCAATATCATACCTTGTATTCTTTGTACCATGGGGTGCTGGAGAGTGTGTGCGCGTGGGACTAGACGACATGGAAAAGGGAATTGACTAGAGTAAGGCATGTTCCAAGCGAAAATTGTTAAGGGTAATCTCATAAGGTCAAGCCTAGGCAAGACATGAAATATATCGTTTTTATCCCCTCGGGGGAAAACGTTTGTATTTATTTTTTTATTATTTTTTTTTAGTAAGAGTGATTGGAAACGACGCCGGCCGAAATGATGCATTGTATTTTTGAATTTAACGCTGGACGAATTCAACAATTCAAATTTGCAAAGGAATATTTTGCTAGATGATGAATATTCAGATGTAGAGGAATACGAAGTCAAGCTTGCAAAATTGTTAAAAAGGTGGAACTTCACTTTTCATACGAAGGTGGAGCTCGTACTAGTATAAAAGGTAAATAAAATATATTGATGAACATTACAGAATGTACAGGGTGAGTCAACGATAGAGTAAGGTCATTATCTCCTTTGTTTTGAGATTTACAAAAAATTTTAAATATAAAAGTTATAGGGAGGGTTAAGGTACACATTTTAAAATAATTGTAGAATATACAGAGTGCTTCAAAAAAGTGTTGCGGATATAACATTTTTTTTTAATGCAATACCCTATTTTTTATTTTATTACGTAAAATTCTACAACTTTTTTTATCTAATAATATTTTTTTTATAATATACAGTATTATATATATATATATATATATATATATATATATATATATATATATATATATATATATATATATATATATATATATATATATATACTGTAGCTCCTAGAATAATAAACTTCACCTTCAAACCTAGTATGTACGAGGATGTATTTCAGGAAAATATTTCAACTTCTATAGGGTGGCTCAAAAATGTGTAAGTGGATCGGTATGTTTTTTTTTTAAACACCCTGTATATTATTGCTTCCTTTTGGACCACTTTACATAATATACTATGAGTAAATATATTTCGATAATATCAGAGATATATAAAAATATAGATAGATAGAATAGATATAATAAATAAATAAAAAATATATTTTTTCCAACCTTCCTTATTTTTTTTTACTTTATGAAGCACCCAGTGTATTCTACAATCATTTAAAACGTGTATCTTAACCTTCCCTATAACTTTTGTATTTAACATTTATTTGTAAACCTCCAAACAATTATTGAGATAATGGACGTTACTCTATCGTTGACTCATCCTGTACAGAACAGAAATTTGTACAGGGTGGAAAATTTAATGTATTACCCAACTACAATATTTTTTGGCGAAAGAATGAGTGATTGACTTTCGAGTCTTTCAAGAAATTTAAGAACCCCACTTTTTTAAATTCAACATAGCGCGGTTTTCTCATCTATAGTGGCGTTAGGAACCTAAAAAATACTGTTTTTTGCAAAGATATTTAAACTCGGGAGATACAACGATCCATTCATAAAACGCTTTAAACCTTCATCAC